TCTCTTCTAAACCTCCTCCCCCTCATCGCTCTCTCGTCTTACTCCATCCTCTTACCATCTGCCTGCCTAGCTTATCCTCCTGCCTTCATCTACAGCTACCTCCTTCTCATCTCTTCCTCATCCTTTCCCTCCGCCTCCTCCTTCCTCATCTTCTTCCACCTCCTGTCCTGCCTCCTACTTCCTACTACCTCCACCTCATCCTCCCTCCTCCTCTCCCCCTCCTTCTTTTCTCCCTCCCTCCCCTCCCTCTCCACCCCCCTCCGTCTTCTCTCCCTCCCTCCCTTCACCTCTTTCCCAACACCACGTTCCCGCCCACGTCACGCCCACGCCCACGCCCGCACGCCCACCCCACGCCCGCACCCACCCCACGCCCGGCACGCCCACGCATACCAGCCTTGGCGACGACGGGAGCATTGGTGCGTGTTGGAGTTTCTCCATCAGGTCGCTGGTGTTTATACTGTGCGTGACAAGGTGGTGTGTGGTGGTGATCGGGGGGTCTCTGTCTGTCTGTCTATATCCATCTATTTATCTATCTTGTTTCTCTCAGTCTTTGTCGGTCTGTCTGTATCTCATCTATCTTCTCTACTATCTCTCTATCTATCTATCTATCTATTTTATCTTCTAATCTAATCTATCTCTCTCTCTCCTCTCTCTCTCTCTCTCTCACTCTCTCTCTCTCTCTCTCTCTCTCTCTCTCTCTCATCTCTTCTCTCTCTCTCTCTCTCTCTCTCACTCTCTCTCTCTCTCTCTCTCCCTCTCTCTCTCTCATCACAAACACACACACACACACACACACACACACACACACACACCCGCAACCACACACACAACATCACACCACACACACACGCACACACACACTCTCTCCCTTCCATCCCTCCCTCCTTCTCTCCTTCCCTCCCCCTGTTATACTTTCACACGCTATCAATTCCAAGTAATGGTATCTAAACCAACTCGATCATGAATTTTCATTAACCACAACTTCAACTTCTTCGCTGATTCCAAATTCCGAATCTAAATTTAAAAAAAAAGTAATACGAGATAACAGTTTGATTTCAGATACCGTTACAACCGTCGTCCTATAACCGTTAAACAGAAGTCCATAACCAAGCATTAAACTCTCTCTTTTTTTCTTTTTTCTTCTTCTCTCTCTCTTTTTCCTTCTATTTTTCTCTTTCTAATATTTCGTTTTCTCTTGGTTGGTTGTATTTCACAATATCCTGCAGGAGCGAAACTTTCCTTCCTTGGGGTTATTAAGGCAAGGCCGATGTCTGCTTGAGGATGTGTACTGTTGTCGTGGGGAAAAGGTGCACACGGACGCACATGCATACGCTGGTGCAGTTTTATACGTGGAGTCAGATGTGTGCGTGTAATGTGTACATGGAGTGATTGGAAGATATATGGATATGATACTTGGATGGTTGGATTATGTGCGTTTTATGAGACTTTGGAAATCAGAATGTTGTTGTTTTATTAAACTGTTTTATTTGAATAAATCACGAGAGAGAGAGAGAGAGAGGGGCGGGGGGGTAGAGGAAGATATGGAAGAGGATAGAGAGGGGGGAGAGAGAGAAAGAGAGAGAGGGGGGGTAGAGGAAGGTATGGAGAGAGAGGGGGAGGAGAGGGGGAGGAGGAGAGGAGGGGAGATAGAGAGAGAGCTTGATTTTATGACAGAAAAATAAAACATGTTCGAAAAAAGGACGATAATACAAAACAGAAAAAAAGCCAGTCAAGGAAAAAAAATAAAGAAAAAAAGTAAAAACACGCAAATAAAGGGAAAAGTGAGGCGACAAAAGAAAGACGAGTAAATATAAAAGAGGGAGAGAAGCAGAGAGATAGGAGAAAAAGAGAGAGTGCTAGGCATGCAGACGAAAGTGTAAGTATAGACAAGTCATAAATAATATGCACATGTAATGGAAACGACAGCCACAGTCTCTCTCCTGTTACTTTCACACGGTCCTTGTGTGTTTGTGTGTGGTATTTATATATATGTATATGTATATATAATATATATATATATATATATATATATATATATATATTATAATATATATGTATATATGTATATATATATACATATATATATATCATATATATATTATATATATATATAATATATATATATATATATATATATATATATATATGATATATATATGTAATATACACACACACACACACACACACATCAACACACACAACACACACACACACTACACCACACACACACCACATCACAGCACAACACACACACACAACACACACACACATACACACACACACACACACACCACACACCACACACACACACACACACACACACACACACACACATATATATATATATATAATATATATATATATATAATATATATATATATATATATATAATATATAAATAATATATTATATATATATATATATAAATATATAATAATATATATTAATAATCATATATATGATATAATATAAACCTTGTACCATATAAGAAAACCACACCCATTAACGCCCCACCGTCATAGAACCACAAAGATACAACCCTTATATCTTCATATCCCTCATAGTTAACCCTTATACTTTCTCATATCCCTCATAGTTTCACTCCTGAAAAAAAAAAAGATAAATAAAGAAAAAAAAATAAAGAATACGCTTCAGTAATACCTCGTATTCCGTAAAAAAAAAAAAAAAAAACGAAGATCGATCATTCGCAAAAATAGTCGTTTCTGAGTCGTTGCGTGCCTCGTCCAGCATCACCCGGGAGAGAAAGTGATTTGTGGGAACGAAGGTGAAGAGAGTGAGAATGTAAAGAAAGGGGGGAGAAAGAGAGAGGGGAGAGAAGAATCTAGATAAATGAGGAGTCTAGATAAATTGTAAATAAATAGATAAATAGTTTGTAACGGACGGGAGGAGAGAGGTACCTAGAGAAATAGGACGTGAAGAGAGTGGGAATGTAACGAAAGGGGGGAGAAAGAGAGAGGGGAGAGAAGAATCTAGATAAATGGGGGGATAGTGGGAGGAAGGAGATGGCTAGAGAAATGGGAGGTGAAGAGAGTGGGAATGTAAAGAAAGGAGGGAGAAAGAGAGAGGGGAGAGAAGAATCTAGATAAATGGGGGGATATGGAGGAAGGAGATGGCTAGAGAAATGGGAGATGTAGAGAGTGAGAATGTAACGAAAAGGGAGAGAAGAAACTAGATAAATGGGGGAGTATGTAACGGAAGGGAGGATAGGTAGCTAGAGAAATGGGAGGTGAAGAGAGTGAGCAATGTAAACGAAAGCGAGGAGAAAGAGAGAGGGGAGAGAAGAATCTAGATAAATGAGGAGTCTAGATAAATGGGGGGATAGTGGGAGGAAGGAGATGGCTAGAGAAATGGGAGGTGAAGAGAGTGGGAATGTAACGAAAGGGGGGAGAAAGAGGGGAGAGAAGAAACTAGATAAATGGGGGAGTATGTAACGGAAGGGAGGAAAGAGGTACCTAGAGAAATAGGACGTAAAGAGAGTGGGAATATAACGAAAGGGGGGAGAAAGAGAGAGGGGAGAGAAGAAACTAGATAAATGGGGGATAATGGGAGGAAAGAAATGGCTTGAGAAATGGGAGATGAGAGAGTGGGAATTGTAACGAAAGGGGAGAGAAGACAGAGGGAAGAGAAACTAGATAAGTGGGGAAGTATGTAACGGAAGGGAGGAGAAGAGGTAGCTCGAGAAATAAAAAAAGGGGGAATGTAAAGAAAGGGGGGAGAAAGAGAGAGGGGAGAGAAGAATCTAGATAAATGAGGAGTCTAGATAAATGGGGGGATAGTGGGAGGAAGGAGATGGCTAGAGAAATGGGAGGTGAAGAGAGTGGGAATAGAGTGGGAAAGTAACGAAAGGAGGGAGAAAGAGAGAGGGGAGAGAAGAAACTAGAAAATGGGGAATGAATGGGAGGGAAGTGATAGCTAGAGATAGAGAAAGGTAGAAAGGAGAAAATGTAGAAGAGTAGGAACGTAACGAAAGAGAGATGAAGGAGAAACGCGAGAGAAGATGGATGGCCAGAGAAATGGGAGATAAAAAGTAAATGGAAGGAGAAATACAGAAAGGGGAGATAGGGAGATGAATGGAAATAAGAAAATATGAGAGAAAAGAGGCATGCATAGAGACAGAGGTAGAGAAAAAATGGACAAAGGGGAAACAGAAATAAACGGGGAAAAGAAAAATAGAAGAAACATAAGAAGGATAATAAAATTAGGGAGGGGAGGGAGAAAGAGAGAGAGAGGGTGGGAGAAAGGGAGAGAGATAGACATAGACAGATAGAGACAGAGACAAGGGACAGACAGACGAAGGGAATGAAAGAA